GTTAATGAACCCCTGTGTATTTTCGACTCTTAAAAACAGAAGAAATCGTTTTACCAAACTTTTTTTTTAAAATGGCTTCAGCTTCTTCAATCAGCGTTGTTTTTGGAGGAGCCAGAACCCTGTCAAACAGACTTAAAGTAATAGAAATGTCATTTCAAGTAGACCCATAGATGACATTAAAAAAGCCACCGCCGTAGCCGCCATCACCGGCCACCTAGGGCACCTGCTTGTAATAACAAAGGAAGAACCCGTCCCCATTTACAATTAAACATTTTTTTTAGATTTAGATTGCTTAGGTTAAGCCTAAATAAATCTATCAACGAAATTGTCACTAATGTTTAGCCAGGAGCCTTGTTACGTGCGATAGCTTTGACGATAGCAAAGGGTGGTCATGGGCATTCCCGTGTGGGGATATCAACTCTAGGCCATTGATATCATCCTTGAGCTGCGGAGAGGAAATCAGGCATCCAACTTGACGGTGGATCAAGGGTTATTGGAGGTGCTGAATCATTAGACGGTGTTATATTGTCAATGTTCTTTCATCGTTGCAGATAAGTTTTGGTCTAGTTTTCCCACGTTAGATCTTGTCGCGTTTCTAATATTTTGGCGTTGGTTGGTAGATTCGACATGAGAATATATTGTACCCTGATTTCAATGTTAGACGGGGGGGGGGGGCTCTATTCATCTATTAGAGCACTGGCTACATCAAAATGAAAGAGGATGGAAGAACTTTAATAGGATATTGTTTTTTATTTAGATTATATATATATATATATATATATATAGTTTAGGCATGTAATGTACTTAGTTTAAATATAATTCCTCCTCTCTCCGGGAAAATGCTATTTCAGGTTTTAAGGCATAGCAATAGCTGTCAAATTTGTTACATTTCCAACATGGAGAGCACGTAGGAATCACATCGCAACGCACATTATTCATATATACGATCCTCAAAAAAAATTATTCATATATACAGAATGTTGTATGTCAATTTGAATGGGCTACACAAGATTAATTCGAATTGCCTATTCATTCATATATAGTTGGTAGCTCATACGTGTGAGCGTAAGACCTCTTTTCTAATTCTATCTCATGTCCGATTTCATCGAGAATTAATTGTCTATGCTCCCTTTAATGTAACTTCATGTGTATTCTGAACATCTCTCTGCAAAACAAGGTAACAAAATCAAAACTAATAGAATCTGTTAGTTTATTATAAAATAATAATGCATACAACTGTATTTATATCAGATTTATTATTCTCCAAATTCCAAAAGGCTGGCCACGATGGTCGAAGTTGTGTTTAACGGCGACAACAACAGCAGCTAAGCCCTATGACAGCACGCTACATCAATGGGTGCCCTTCATTCTCCCAACATCTCGAGCACTCCGTAGATGTAGCATTCTGTCATAAGAGTTAGGTGCTTGATTACCGAAGAATGAGTCCCTCTCTGCACCCATTGCCACCACCACCATCCCTCCCCGTCTGCAACAACAAAACACATGTGAGGGAGGATGGAAAACAATTCTGTTTTGCTAAAGCACAGTGAGCTTCAAATATTGTAGATTTTTTCATAGTAAAATATAAACGAAAATGAGGGTGAGAAAAACTTTTTTGTTATTTAAACATTAATTTCAGTACTACACTTCACCATTTTCCATACAGAATTTTATGGGGGAGATAGATTTGGCACTTGCATACAACGTCTGCAATTAGACGACAATGCAAGCTTAAAATGATGTAAACTGAATTAACAGCATAGAGCTGTGAATGGAGGTCGGGACATGTATGTGGATCATGCTCATCAGAATTTAGAACTGCAAAGTTAAACAGAAAGAGAGGGATGCACGATTACCTGTTTCTGATGGACAATGGAAGGAGGCCGCTAGGCACATGCATATGAATGAGGATGCATCGTGGTTTTGCAGGCGGCGTGGTTTGGTTACCACTGATTACCAATGCGATGCATCAATGGAAATGGCTGCCTGGTTGCCGATCACTGCGTGTGTGTGTGTGTGTGTGTGTGTGTGTGTGTGTGTGTGTGTGTTGTGTGTGTGTGTGTGTGTGTGTGTGTGTGTGTGTATACTCCTATATATGCGCAGGTGGGAGTGAGTGGGTGGGGTGGGGGCAGCAAAACGGCTCTCCCCTCCGCAACGAAAGCAGCAGATACGCATGCATGCACAAGGCATGTTGCATTGTAACCGCCGGTCGGCTGACAAAGATAAGACGGAGACACGTCTGGTGAGCGCAGTACTAGCTGCTCCGGTGTGATCGCTGAATTCAGTTGTGACCGGCCCCAAACACAAAGCAGCTACCAGCAGCAGTGCTGCAGCTGTGTCAGGCTGAAACTGAATGGACTTGTGCTATTTCAGTTACCTGAAGGAGGAGGTGTTTTCTGAATGACAAGGCCACAAGTTTTTAGAGCAAACGGGTATTCGATATGTAGATTTCATGGTACATTCGACGGCTATTTTTTTGTTGTATCTCATTTAACCTGTCAGTTACGGTACGACTCTGCAACCGGGCAGGCCAGTCCCGGCCGGAGTAGCAGAGTATTCATCTGTAAATATCTCCGTTTATCCTGCATTCCACGTATTATTCAGTAGATTGCAAGTTCATTCTAGTCGTGATCTTGACAAGCTGCTTAAGTAACTAGCTGGAACCAAAATAGTAAAGCTGCTTTGCCAAAGCTCAACATACGACTCATCAAAAAAAAGCTCAACATACGGAGTCAAATGAAATGACCATCACAAGGCTCCTGGATATTCATCAACGGAGTCCCGTTCTACACTAGTTCGGTACTAACTCTCTGTCATGCATGATGATGAATGCATCCGGTGTTGCTGCATCTTTATCGACACAACAACACCAACAACTCAATGTTTTACAGTTCTCCGATTCAGAAACTAAGAGGAGCTAGGAAGACCTCAATCATGTTACTGCTGTCAATTCAGGCTAAGCAAGACTGCAAGAGCCTTCTAAGTTTTACCTAATATAATATAATATCTCCAAATATCAATACTGTTGTAGGCAGCTACAGTCAGAGAACAATTGCTGAGCAGTAGCATCTCCTGCCAATCGACTTCAACCCCGTAATTTCCACCTCACAAATTGCCATGACACCAATGCTTAACTGTTGTCAGAAGTTGTATCATTTATAAACTGACTTCAATATAATTTGCAGCCACATCAATCATGCATGGTTCGGTATAAATATTTATCTTCCAATAGCTGATCAGATTAGGAACACAATGTATACTCCAGTTAGTCCTGGCACCATGTAAAACTACTTGCTTAATTTAGATAACTGCCCGGGTCACAAATTCACAACCCAATTTCAGTATTTTGCTCTTTTTTGCAATTCTTCTATGCAATTACCTTGGGCATTAGTGATATTAGAGGAATGAGGTACCAGCAGCAGTGTGGTGCATGCCGATGAACATGATTTTTTTGCCAGCAGCACACGTATAGCAGAAGATCATAAATATGGTCGCAGCAATAGAACCATGGTACATTAAGATGCAGACTATTATCACCTGAAGGTAACTTCAAGTCAACCAAGCTTGTCGGATGCAAACATCAATATGGTTAGACAACATGTTGCATTGGGCAGGATAAAGCAAATATATTGTTTAATATCTGTCAAGCATCATCTTTAGTTTAACTGGGTGATGTGTCTGACTACACTTATCAGCAGGATAAAAATAAATGCCCTATTCAATTCGAAATACAAGGAAAACATGTGTTAGTAATTGAAAGAGAAGGACAAGAATAAATGTCTGAAAAAGTTATGTGAGGTAATATGCTTAAATGGGTGCAACTTTATCTGAAAATAATTTAGACAAGAACACCAGAGCGTCAGCCAATTGATGGAATTTCTAATTATAATTATTACAAGTTTTAAGATAGGTCGGCAGAGGAACTGGCCCTAGAGTTGGATCTAGTAGGATGATGCCATTGTTGATATTATAACAAAGTCCGCCAAGAGGACAATATCTGCCGGCCATCACTGGGAGTGCCCTAAGTTTCTACAGCCATGTACATTCCTCATGTACATAGTGAAGAAGGGCATTACCAAGATAATATTTTCATTCCTTTATATAGTTGGCCTCCGCAAACAATCAATCAGCTAGTTTTCTTGGTTATGTTCTTCTCAACTATGTACAAGAGGAATGTGCATGACCCTAGGAACTTGGGACACTACCGGTGGCAGCGAGCAAAGATTGTTATAATATAGGATTAAGTCCACTTTTGGCCCCTCAACTATCGTGTTGGTCTAATTTTAACCCTCAACTACAAAACCATCTACTATTGGTACCCCAACTGTAAAAAACGTTCACTTTTAGCACCTGACGCGAGGGCAAGGCTATTTTGACCATGTTGAGCGGTTTTGACCATCTCAATGACATGTGGGGCCCACGCGTCATCGACTCAGAGCAGGGCCTCGGCGAGCACATCAACTAGCACAGCGAACCGCTCCTCCGCGACGCGCATGCCACGCCCTGCGCCGCTCCAGCCCCCCGGTAGCCACCAGGAGGCCGCGGGCACCAGCGGGAGTAGCAGCGGCAACGGCGGGGCCGGGGATTGGCTCCGGCTCGGTCCATCTCGATTCCATGCCGTTCGCTGCTGCTACGGGCGCCACCACGAATTCGCCCGCACGCGAGCACGAGGTGGAAGAAGGGAGTGGGCGCGAGCACGAGGTGGGTCGGCGGAGACAGCGCTCGTCCCCGGCCCGCGTCGACGGGAGCTGAATGACGAGCTGGCGCAGCAGGAGGTGCTGCTGCTGCGCGTTTGCATCTGGCGCGGCCGTCTCGGACACGCCCTGCGCCGGGGATGGCGGCTGCGATGTCGGCGCCCGGGAGGCACACCTCCGGCACACGCACGGTGGTCTCGCGCAGAACTCCGGCCGCTGCGCCACCACCTTGCAGCTCGCCGGGGCAGGAAACCGCCGCGCGCCCGTCCGCGCACGCGCACAGCTCCGCCAGACGCCAGCAGCGCCATGGCCAGCTCCGTCACCTTCCGTCCGCGCACAGCTCGTGCACGTGGCTATCGGCGACCAGCGCTGGAGCACACCGGCGTACGGAGACAGCTGCTCGCCGCCGACAAGCTCGTCCACTCCGCCCGGGGGCTTCTCTCCGCGTCAGCCCCGACTGGATCCATGGGCTCAAGAGTACGTGCCGCCTTACCTGTTTGTCTGCTCGGCTGCTCCTTCCCCCAAATTAATTTGGGCAAATTTTGTTCGATGCTGAAACGAAGATTGATGCATCCTACAGGCACCATGCTGCAAGTGGCGAGCAACTACAGGGCTCTGTTCGAGGAGATGGCCGCCGGGGACGAGAACCTCAGCCTGGCCATGGTCCCGTGGGCGCCCGCCAAGGTCCATGCCCATGCCGCCTCCAGCTCCACATCGGCGGGCGCGGAAATGATGGACGCTGATCAGGACGGAGACGGCGCATCCATGGAGATCGAGCACGGCGTGGAGGGCCAGACCACGCCCCCAATGGTCGGTGCGCTGCAGGGGGAGGCGTTCCACCACCATTACCAGCAGCAGCACCAGTGGCCGGCGCCGCACTGTGTTGCGTCGCCGCAGCTGCAGCTCCCAGCTGCGAGCTACCAGCCAAGCCCTGTCACGTGGTCGTGGTGACGGCGCGAACCAGAGCAGCCTCACCGGCGCACTCCCCTCTGCTCTCCGCCTCTCCTCTGCCTCTCCATTCCTCTCGGCCCTTGCCTGCTCTGCTATCTCCCTCTCCCACCTCTGCTCTGGCCGCACAGCGCCGCCGCCAGGTGCCCTGCTCTGAGTCGGTGACGCATGGGCCCCACATGTCATTGAGATGGTCAAAACCGTTCAACATGGTCAAAACAGCCTTGCTCTCGCGCCAGGTGCTAAAAGTGAACGGTTTTGATAGTTGGTGTACCAGTAGTAGACGGTTTTATAGTTGAGGGTTAAAATTAGACCAACACAATAGTTGAGGGGCCAAAAGTGGACTTAATTCTATAATATATCTACAATAGCACCATACTACTATAGATCCAGTTCTCGAGTTAGTTTCCCTGCCGACTTATTTTAGAACTTGTAATATTAATAAGTTAGAAATTTAACTACTTGCTGACGCTTTGATGTTTTGCCTAATTATTTTTAGGTAAAGTTGTGCCCTTTGAAGCAAGTTACCTCACATAACTTTTCTAGGCATTTATTCGTGTCATTCCCTTTCGGTCACTAACATATGTTTACATTGTTTTTCTAATTGAACAGCATATTTATTTGGTTATCCAGCCGATAGGTGTAATCAAATACTTTACCGGCCAGTAAAACTAATAAAGATGATGCCTGACAAATATATAGAAGAACTGTGTATATTTGCTTTATATCCTGCCCGATGAGAACCTGTTGCCTAACTGTAGTGATGTTTCTACTGACAAGCTTGGGTTGATGAATTTAAGTTACCTTCAAGTGATTGAAGTCTCCATCTTACCGTAGGAGATAGGCATGCAAATGCTGCAGCAGGACCATGCCTTGCATATCGATCGATCTGGTGGCTACGACTTACCAATGCAATGTGTCCATGGAATGGCTGCCTGCAGGTTGCCGACTGCACTGCATATATATACTAGTATATTGCCCGTGTTAACACTACGATGACGTTTAAAAATAAATCATAAAACAAAAAAAATCAACTGATGTAATAAAACATCAAATTCAAAAATAAATGTTCTAGCTATCAGAATATTTTCCTAGTACAAATGTGATTCATCAGAACTCAGGAGCTACTGTTATTACACTGAAGGACCTTTCAAAGAGCCGAAGCTGGAACCTGCACCTCAATTAAAGATAGGAGGAATTAGTAGGACATTGCATTGAAACCAACGGTAAAAGACGAAAATACCCACTTTTCATGATAGAAACCATATTATGAGAAACAAATCATGATAGAAACTATATTATGAGAAACAAGAATATCAACCGACAACAACAGTTGAACCAGTAATACTCGAATGTCTATACTACAATCTTTTTATCTTATACATATGCCATATTTTTCTAAACATAAGAATGCATAGCCATTTTCCTAAACACGATGGTAAGGATACAAAACTTGTATATGAAAAATAATCAATAGATTAATAGAAAAGGTGCAGGTGTATGTTTCACATCATTGGTGTATGTTTTACAAAAAAAAGGAGAAAAAAAATCAGCTTGCACTCAGCACCAGGTAGCTGACATTAATCCTAAATTTCCAGTCAACAATCCATCGACACAATTCAACAGATGAAAAGCAAATGAAAAATGGCATGCTTACCTCATCGATGAAATTATTTATAGAAATTTAAATAGGTCCACCAGTTGCTGCAGCAACATGTTGCAAATCTTATTCAGTGACACAACCAGCGCAGAAAAATAGGCGTTTGAAAAAGTGCATATTAAAAAATCATCTCAGGCAGACACCGGAAGTACCAAGGAACTCAGAAAATAGGATATCGAGTATATATAGTTTCATAGATCGATGAATGATTCAAAGAACAAATAAATAAATGAGAATGCAGGGAAGGTAATAGGAGAGGTAGCTGACTAACCTGGAACCAAGTAAACCACCGAATCAGGTTGCTTGCGCTCACTTTTATTTAAGAGGATTGAAATGAGAGGTCATAATAAATATGAGGTTAAAAGCATCTTTACAGATCATTGGCATTAAGATCCAATTTAGTATTAGGTCATAATAAATATGAGGTTAAAAGCATCTTTACAGATCATTGGCATTAAGATCCAATTTAGTATTATTGATCACTCGTCACTTGCTCTATATCATTTACAAATGAAAGCCGCTTGTTGACCAATGAACAGCTAGGCACTATTCTACCTGTAGCAAAGTAAAAGACCATAAAGTCAATGAAATGATGAGCTATGAACTTAGTTTTAATTTGATAACAAAATACTAGCAATGCCCATAATTTTTTGTAAGTAGCACTGGCCATGTCCTCTCTATCCTACAACATATTCATTATGTCCTATTTGCGCAATCTGTTGACCCAAAAACACAAATAAAATGAGCATAAGTATTCATTATGTCCTATTTAGGCAATCTATTGACCCAAAAACACAAATAAAACAAGCATATGTGTGTTTTTTTAGAATAAAGGGTGGCTCTGTCCTCACTACCCTTATTAGCTTTTGGTTGATTTATTTAGGGGTCTATATTCTCTCATATGCCCTCTGCTAGTCCTCTTGACCCTTCTTCAGTTGATGTGTTTCATTATCCTGAAGAGCTAAATGTGGTCTACACCTTAATCATTAAGAACACATACATAGTAGTGTATACGGTATACCACAATTTTGTAAAGTTTATAAAGATGAAAAAAATATATAAATTAGGACTCCGGTAATGGCCTGTCGACTGAATGAAGAAGACATGCAGAGTAGTTGTAATACCCTAAAATTTGTATGATTTTAAAATAGGAGAAAATGATTTAATTATGCATTTTGTGAGCATTTAAATTTAGAAAAATAATAACTTTGTTAAAATTAAAATCAAATATAGGTCTACATACATGTCTATGCATTCATGCTGCTGCATATTATTTTTGGATTGTGTGGTTTGAAATCAAACATCAAATTGATTTGAATTTACATTTCAAAATCGGTTTGGAAAATTAGAAAAGATAAAAAGAAAATAGAATTCCTCTCCTCACTCTCCCGGCCCGGCCTATTTTTTTCCGCCGGCCCGCTTTCCCCCTCCTCCTCGGCCTGTTGGCCCAGCCGCCCCGCTCTCCTTTGCTTCCCGCATGGCCTACGCTGCTCCCCTCTTCCCCGCGGCCCAGCTTCGCTCGGCCCAGCAAGCAGGCAGCCCAGTCGCGTCGCGCCCACACCGTTCCCTTCTCTCATGTCGTGTGACGCTGACAGCCTGGCCCCACATGTCAGCGCTGTCTTCCTCGCGCGTGTCCGCCCCGGACTCCACCGCGCCGCCATGACTGTCTCCTCTACGCCGCGCCTTGTCATGCCGCCCAAGCTGAACCGCCTCATAAAAGCTGAGCCCGCACTGCGCCGCTCTCCTTGTTCCGAGCTCGAGTTGCCAAATCGCCACGCTACAGCAAACCCTAGCAGCGCCGCCGTTATCGCCCGCCTCGCCAAGCACGACGCCGTCCCCGTTCGCTTCACGCTGCAGTAAGCTACCTAGTTGCATTCGCATAGCTCTCCTCTCTCTCCCCGTGGTCTTCCCGTGTCAGTTGGTGGACGGAATCGCCCAAGCCGACCACGCCGACGACCTCCTCTGCTTTTCCGGCCATGGAGCCGCCGCTTAGCTCGTCGCCGGTGACCCCCATCTCCCCCTCTCCGCTCTTGGTCGTCCATCTCGAGATCTAGGGCCCAGATTAGAAGATACCGGTTCTGTGGTAATCTTGCTAAAGAACCCCTCTTTTTTTAAATATAGAACCCGCCGTCCCTGGTTTTTTCAAAAGGACCTCTGCCTTTTCTTTTAATATTGCCCGCAGTCCTCGATCAGATTTAAAAATCAGATTTTATTTATTTTAATTCGAAAATCAAGTTCCATCTATCTACAGAACTGCCACTATCTTTTGTAGGCCATAAAATCTTCATTTTAACTCCGATTTGGTCCGTTCAACTTGCATTAGGTTCGTAATTCCATAATCTACATGTTCATACTAGTGTTAACTATGTTTTCAACTTTTAAAATTCGAGGTTAGATTTAATCTATTATATTACTAAAGGAAATCTTGTTTAATTCATAACTTCTTCGTTTTAGCTCTGATTTTTGTGATCTTCGCGTCTGTGTGTTCGTAGTGAGACGTAGATTCATTTTACAAACTTTTCCTCTTGATTTTATGCTAATTTGTGTACTGTTCTAATTTATAGCTTTTGTTTGCTATGCATGATTGCTTCTGGATGCTTGTATGTTGCTGTGATTATCGAGTAGAGACGGTGATCAATTCGCGGGTGAACAAGAGTACTACTTTAACGAGCAGGATCAGCAGGAGCACTTTGTTCAAGGTAAGTATATCATGGGATTATCCTTATTTTCTATCAACTTTAATACATTTAATTCATGTTGCATATGTCACCTTGATAGCGATTCCCTAGAATTGAACTTATACCTTGTTTCCTATGGGATATGCACTGGGTAGCTTTGCTAGTGCTTAATTAAACCATGACCTTGTAACTTGACTAATGGTATATGCAATAAACATTAAAATATGATTTTTTAGCAACTTGGAAACAGGGGCTGGAGTATTTAGCTACTTTCTAAATGCTTCAGATTTCTCTCCCTAAGGACTTATCTGTAAGTGATCATCCGGTACTTATAGTATAGCTGTGAGGGCTACATGGCTCTGGCTTTAGCTCAGTATGAGGACCTTTTCTGGCTTGTTAGTGGTTACCTTCATTGGTGTAAGAATGACTTGACGAATCGGGTATAGTGTGGCCTCTGTCCCCATGAGTATAGGTTGCGCGTCAATGTGCCATCGGGAAGGGGGCTCTACATCTGTTTGCTGAGTGAATCTAATGGCCCTAACTTGTTAGATAAACCTTTGAAAGGCTTCATAGTGAACTCTACTGACCTTCCTTGGTAGTGGGTTAAGAGGCTCGTGATCTCGGACGAAAGGGTAAATTACGACTCACAGTGAAAGTGTACAACC